AAAAGGGACACAAGGTTGGAATGCTGCAGAGGATGTAAACCGACGGCCGGTGGCACAGATTTGTTAGTTACATCCATATGCTAGAGAAATACTTGCTGGGCAGCTATGGTGTGACTAGGACTGAGAGGGCAATTAACTACGTGAAGTTCAGTCTAGACAAGTCTTGTTGCTCATATGCCTTTATACTCTATGCGAACATGTTGTCTTCAAGCGGGAAACTCGTCTCATTAAGACCTTAACAGTTTCAATGCATGTGCTGTAGCTCGGAAGGGCCTGCTCTTCTCATGACCGGTTCAGTTTCGAGTCACACCTGAAAGCAGAAAGGCTTATTGGATCTCCTGGTATCATCCACTGTAAGTTGTAGGTCAGATACTAAACTATAATCTGTCTGCAGATTGCAAGCTAATGCCCCTTTGTGGTAATGCGGACAATCATGGGAACCATGCCGTACGCGGGTCACATTGACCACATTTTCTGTATTTCAGGCCTCATTCCCTCACGATGCAAAGAAGATGTCAAATGGAATATGACTGATGGGAACGGATGCGCTATCTTTTGCTATGCCGTGGCTAGCGATCGAAACAGTCCTGCAGCCTTCATGAGTGGGATGGTCTACCGTGGGAAGCATCTGGAGACCATTTTTCAACAGATGACAGTATATTAAATAGTAATTTGGATGTGCGATGAACTCGGAAGACCAAGGCTGGAAGAATTGGTGGCAGCTACGTTCGACCTGACTGAGGAGGACCGTTGTAGGAGAATGATCCACGTCAGGACTAGACTGGCAAAGCGAACGTCGTCGAGCACACTACGCGTCGTGCAAGCTCGAGACAATATAGACATAATTGGGCGCGAGTTTTGCTCAGACCTGCCATAGAGAGGACCTGGAGAAAACAGGGCGGCCGGCTCGACATAAGAGAGCCGTCTACTTGGTTTTGAGTAGCGATATTTGCAATTTGGCCGAAATCGTCCCAGTACATCCTTTTTAGCAGGTACTCCACCATGGTCTTGTTAATGGGATTACCACATAACACATGTAACATAAGGGCTACGACAGCGTTGCGAGTGGTAAGCAGCAAATGATAGGCTGAATCTTCTCATGCTGGAGTCTATGCCGATCTAAAAAATGAGGGCTCTGTAATCGAGTGGTAAGTTGAGAAAGAAAAGGCCAGGCGCGAATGGCAAAAGCTACTGCAGTCGACTGAATCCCTAGCTGTCATTGACGAAATACGAAATGTGTACGAGTACCTAGAGATTTGAAGATCAGAGTGGGCAGTGGAAATGCTCCCAGACGGTCGGGTCTGGGTAAAGCCAACTGTCACCGGAAACGGCAATTCAATGACGATGATGGAAGGTCTGTGAGTGCGCTATCCGACCAAGACCATTTGCGGTGAAGAACTCTTGTGCAGATCCAGCTATGTCCAGGATGCGAAAATCCGCAGCTCCTGCAGCGTCATGTGCTGCGCTGTGACGGGTAAGTATGTGCTGTGGCAACCTGCCCAGATCGAACATCGCTCGGACTTCTGCCATCTTATAAAGATGAATGCTAACTGGATAAGGTTCAATCAGACAAGTTGAGATGAGGAGGCTGCTGCAGGGGAATCAGAATGAGTAAGGCATCTGGGTGTGTAGTAAGTATTTATGAGTACGGGGTTTGGATTTCAAGTACTGTACTGAATGGCGTGCGAATGAACGGTGTTGTGTTGCGATCCATGTTTGACTTTGAAGAGAGCACTATCGGATGATGCGACGATGCAGGTGTGGATTTCCGTAATGAGACCAGTAGCCACGAGTTCAAAAGGGCGCGGGGGAAATGAGAAAGGAATCAGTCCTCGGGGCCGATTGCGACTGCATCGGAGCGGGGGTTTGTACTGGATGAGCATCCATTTGTGTCAGTGCCGGGCCGGACTTGGCTCCGTCGCAGTTCCTTCCGACCCGGCTTTGGTTCCGGAAGGCAGGAAGGGCGGCGCCGGTCTGGTTGCAGAAGGAGCAAGGAGCATTCTGCAACAGGAAAAGACATTGGAAGGAGGCACCGAGAATGGCACACGTAGCTCTGCTCATACCTTGCCAACTGTTCCTCTTTTGGGTATCCGTGTCTACCTTAGTAACTTCCAGGTTGCAATCAACAACCTTCTTCGCTGCATCTCCCAACCAAGCAATCGAGATGCTCCGTTGTGGCATTTCCTACCCGTTACATCGTCCGTGTTATGCAATATCGTTCGCCACCATCACTCACCATCACTAACTTTGCGGTGTCAATACATGATGCGCCTTCGCACCTTCTAGTTCAATCCAAACTTCATTTATGCATATCGACTGCCGCCTCCAGGACCTACCTCAGTCAATACCAGCGCCTCAGTAACCCCTGAGCCATAGCAATCGTAAAGTGTAACCGGAGCTAACGTTGGTATAGGCGAAAATTAGAACGACGCGGAGAATGTCATCCAGGTGCTTAGTCGATTCAGCCCCAGCGAACGATCCTCCAGGAAGCACGCACGGCACGTTAGTCGATGTGAGGGGGATGGTGCCTTACCACGCTGTCGGAACCATTCCAATCGAAGCACGTTGTCTCAATGGATTAGTCGCCTACACCGATGTGAGATGGAAATCTCCGGTCGTGTCGGCCCCAAGGTCCAGGGAAAAGGGAGAAGAATGATGGTTTCACATCTTGGACACGCTTCTGCAAGCCTCGCCCGTCTCGCGTGCTCACTGTAGCCTGGGGGCCACCCAGCAGATTCTAGCCAAGTCTAGCCCAGCCCAAAGACGTTCGGCCGAGCCGTGGCCTCTCAAGGTCCAGCCACACCTCCGGCACTCGCCCTACGGCCAGCTCGTGTATCTTATGCATGGCAGACAGCCACCAGTCCAGGGTCGCAGTGAGGTGACAGGGCAGGCAGCAAACGCCGCCGCTAAATCGCAAAAGCATGTCTCGGGGCCTCTTGCTTTTCTCATCCAACGCTAGCGAGCGGTGGCGCCACTGGCTTTAGAGGCTTGCAAAACATTGATCCAGCTCCACGATGAATGCCATGCTTCTTCTCTGCATGAGCTCTGCAAGAAAGATCTGCGAGACGACTGCTTGGCTGCGAAGTGTCTGTGCCACGCACATGGGGGCCATCTATTCGTACGTCTGAACTCTGAACCTCATCAAACGAGCCTTGAATAGCGTCGCACACCAGCGCTTCATCACATCGTACATACGGAGACGAGTGGGGGACGGGATCGATTTCCTGTTATTCATCTTGATATGTGCCTCTTTCACTACTCATATCATCATCATTACCATCCTTTATCAAAGTCCTTCTTATATACGTAGAGGAATACACTCTGGATAAAAGACATTAACCTCGGAAATCTTGGGGTTAAGCTTGCGGTAGACTCGGCCGGCATGCTGCACCGAAGCGTTACATAGGCCGGCGGCGCCGTTCTGGTTGTCTCTAGACGCATACCGCGCACATGGGCGTATTGACCCCCATGCTGTCCCGTCAAAGCCGTTTTGGGCCTGGGCCTGGTCTTGTCTGTTCTGCTGGAACGGGACATTAGGGTCTCGCCTTCTTCAGAAGATCAGGAACAAAGGTGAGTCAATCTTGGTTCGCCCACCCCCTTGAACACGACTTTGGGTCCCTCTCAAATTCTCCCAACCCGACTTGATCCAGATGACATGACGGGGGCCCGGATTTCCCATTGCTCCCGTCTTGAAGGAACCCCCCCCCTTGCCCTACAATGCGGTCCTAGCTTTAAGCTGAACCCTGCGTGGCCCACTCCCCCCTCCTCCTCTCAGAGTTCCCCTGGTCTGCATCCTCGACCCTCTCTCTCAGAGTCCCCGCTTCGCATCGCATCTTGGTTGCGCGACTCGACTCGCCTCGAGCTTGTTGACCACCTTGACCTTGCCTTTGCCTCCAGCTACAGCTCGACTTTGACTGCACGACCCTGCTTCCCTGAAGGGCTCCAGTCCAAGTAGCTCGCTCACCCCAGTCCCCCGACTCCCCCGTCCCCTTCACCTGGCCTGACTTACGTTGGGCGTAACAAGCGCGCGTCCTTCGTACTTTTGCCCATTTTTTGATGAGTCTCTTGGACTGGTCGATTGTCCCATATCCGATCAAAGTCTCGCCCTTCCCTCCCTCGCCCGCCCAGTCCTCTCTCTACCCTTTCCTCATTCTCGTCCGGCCTTGCTCTACTTGTCTCTCATACGCCCACGTCCACGTCCGTCCTTCCACCCGTCGTTCCCCGCCATCGCCGATATCCGCCTGCCGTAACGGCGGTCCCCTCCATCTCTTTACCATACCATCTCACTAGTCTTGTCCTGCCCAGCTTGGAGTCCAGTCCTCCCCAGCCCTATCCTTTCCTGCTCACCCGCAGCAAGCCAAACCGGCGCGGCATAACACAAGTTGAGATTTGCTGCTTCCCTCGTCACATCTCATTATCACGTACCTTGGGGTGTTGCTCTTTAAAGTAACAACCCCCCCATATCCGAAAGCTCCCCACTTGCGGTTATCCTCGCCTGCCCATCATCGTCCAGCGAGCTTGCTTGTCTGTCGTCGGAACATGTCAGAAAAGCTTGCTTGAAGAACCGACCCTTACTAGCTTCCCGCCCCCCGGGGGCAGAGCACGGAACCGTCTCTACGGCTGCGGCTTCCGCACCCTCATCTCCTACCCGCTGCCTTCGCCCGTCATTCCCGTCAACTTACCTTATTGCAGTGAGAGGGAAGCATGAGCATGCCTATGCTTACACTTATCCGCACCCGCTGTCTGCTGCTATCCGCCTCTCTACAGTTCACCTTTCGGGACAGCTTGTACACTTACAGTTACCTGTAGGCTGTAGTGTATACCCTCGAAACAGCTCCCGCCTAGTTCCGCCCTCCCCCGCCATCCCCGCCGCTGCGACATTTTTGGTCTTGGTGCGGCCGCTGCTGCTCCGATCTCCAACTCCACATCGTCTTCTCGTCGGATAACGGGCATCATCCAGGGTCCATGGACCGTCGGCTGATGCATCAACATCCTCGACAATGACCCGACCCAAGGTCCCAGATGACAAGCGCCAACGGACTGCACAGGCCTGTGACACGTGTAAGCGACGAAAGCAAAAGGTAAGCATCCTCTTTTCCCCATCCCCCACGTTCCTGGTGCACCCAACTCTTGTTTTCTGTTCGTGGTAGAGCCCGAATTCAAGCCTGGCCGACCAGCACTATCGTCACCCTTTGTTGTTGTTTCTTTCCACATTGTCCTACTCGCTTCCCAGCCCATCACATTTTACCCCAGCTGTCATATTATTAGTGCTCTTAGTACCGGCATACCTAGAGCTCCCTCCGTGGCGTTGCCAAAACGTCTTGACAACTCCCCACCATTTCCTCGCGCCGGTCTCGGCTAGTTGCCAGAAGAACCAAGTACAATCCCATTCCAATTGCCATGAATGGGGATTCAGACTGCCCATCACTGAAAAACCTGGCTTATGTATCGGGAACCATCTCTTGTTGGGGGAATTCTCCGGCCCGATATGGCGACGTATCCTCTGACCGCGTTGATCGTGGCCTCACAATTCGACAAAAAATACACTTTAATCGTGCAAGCTCCCCTCTCTGCCTTGATTGTCAATGCTACATTGCCAACTAAGTCCGGTCCATCCAAGTGGGTGGTGGGCATCCATGCAGATACACCATTCTCCATCTGTTTTCCGAGCTGTTTCTTGCAGCACATTTCGCACTCGTTGCTCAATTTGCTGGACCCTTAAACGGGGCATCTCTTCCAGCACCCGGGGTGCCCCTCGTCAGAGCATGTCTTTGTGGGCAACCCGACGATCTGGTCACAGACTTCCCAGGATCATTGGTTCATCCCATGAAGTGCCCCACTACCGATCGACAACGGGTTACCGCCTTGCCGGTCTCGTGTACACCGCATCCCGGTCTATCTGAATGACCTCAAGCTCGGCAAGTGCTAGCTATTTGCAATTTTCCGAGACCTTGTCCGGTTCACCTCCCGCATCACGTTAGTCGCCAAGTCACTTTCCAGTCGCTGACCGATACTTGACAGTGCAACGGTGCTCGCCCTTGCGGCACTTGTACCAAGAGGAGTCTTCAGTGTACATACACGACTAGCAATGGCTCCGAGCAGACCGCCCCGGACCAATTAGCTTCTCCTTCCAAGCGTCGCAATATTGAAGAACTACCGACGGTGAAGCCAACAGCCCCAGATGGCTCACTCACATCTGAGAGCCCCGCGGCGGCCACGACCCCATGGGACTCGAGACCGAACCAACCAGTCAACGATGCGAAACCAACCGCCGGATCTGATATAAAGCCATCTATCGAACAGGACCATGAAATGCTGGGAGTAGACCGCGAGTTCGACATTCGCTCCAGGCACAGCACCGCTTCAGGACCTGATGAAGAGACATCGCTCATGCAATCTACCAGAATGTTGCAGGACCCTACAGGCAGACTCCGTATGTATCCTATGCCAGGGCGTTGTATTTATCTTGTTACTAATCATACGATCAGTCTACGTTGGCGACTCGGCCTCGTTGGCTTACCTACAGCTCATACGAATGATTGTTGAGGCGAGCGTTGGGCCCAGCGACTTTACCCTGGACCCTAGCCGCCATAAGATCATGGAGGCGACCAGTGCTATCCCGGATAGCATTCGGCCTCCACATATCCTGCCCGACAGGGATACAGCCAACGCTCTGCTGGACTCCTTCTTTACGAACGTATGCGATTCCCCTGAGTACTCGGTACGACGCTCATGAGGTTTAGTTGCTGACTTGCTATAGACTCACGGCCTGATCGAGGTCTTTAACAGAGCAGCATTTGAAGAGTCCGTGGAAGCCTGCTACACAGATCCATTGGCAGCGCAATCTTCTTTCCTCTGCCTATTGCATTTGACCCTTGCTATCGGCACCGTCTTGGGGACACCACTTCCCGGTAGCAAAGAAGACGTGATTTTCAAAAAGCTCCGAGCAAGTCGATATGACCGCGCCGAGCTATTCTTCAGGAGTGCCAAAGCTCTTGGCGACCCCATTTCCGGATTTGAAGATGCAGACTTTTGGTCTGTGCAGGCACTGTCATTGATGGCTGTCTATATGCTAGCGATATCCAAACGTAACGCAGCGTACGCCTACTTTGGTGAGGCCATAATCAGCTATCCCGTGCGGAACATCATAGCTAATGCTTTCATCCTTTAGGAATGGCGGTCCGTTCTGGCTTTGCTCTTGGCTTACACAGGGTCCACGAGAACCACTTTATTTTCAATGGCGAGGAGATTCGGCTCCGCCGTAACCTCTGGAGAAGTCTATTCGTTCTCGATCGGTTTCTCGCGGCATCACTAGGCCGACCGGTCGCCATTGACGAAGAAGAGTGCTCTGTAGATGCGCTTTTGGTGTTTGAAAAAAACTCCCAAGGGGAATTGATCCGTGTTACGGATCCCGATGATGGGCTCGACGCCGCCGTGCGATCTTGTCGGATCGTTGGGCAGATTCTCAAGAAGATCTACGCCCGCCGGCGAATTTCGGTCCGCCTTGCTCAAGAGATCTGGGAGCAGTGCAACACCTGGTACACTACTCTGAGCCCCGAATTGGCGGGTGGGCGGGTGGCCGCCGATCCCAGCAACCCCGCTCAGGGCATCGCGGCTCTGCATGTCAACCTCTTATACTGCCACTCTATTCTCTTACTGACTCGTCCATTTTTTCTCTGCCTTTTGAGTAAAGTTCACGGCGAGCGAAGCGGTCTTGCTCTCCCGGTCCCCCGCTGGATCAATCGCATGTCAAAGTATTGCGAGGCATGCTTACACGCTTCTAACCAGACAATCATCTACGTGCAAAAGGCGTTTGAGAGCAACTACCTTCCTCAACGAAACCCCTTTGTTCTGTATGTAAATGCAAAATGGACTACAAACTGCATTATGCTAACATCTCATCCAGCTACTTTCTCTTCGCTGCCTCACTCGTTATACTGAGTAACGAATTTGCATCTATATACCCCAACCCGACTTACGCGGCCTCGATATCTAATACCATTGCTATTATGCGGTATTGTGCTACCAGCGACCCGCAGGCTAGTCGACTCCTCTTCATCCTCACATCTTTCCGCAACGTCGTCTACGAATTACAACAGAAGAAGACCGAGCAGCCAGCCATGCCCGCGCCCCCAATGCTTTCCCCGACATCCCTCAACGACCCCATAGGCACCATCTTCAAGTCTTCACGTAAGAATTCGCTGGCTGCCACAGTATCGGGCATGACAGGAAACAAGGCCAAGCCAATGGCGCCACCGCCGCTGTCAATGAAGACGGACCATAGCTTTCCTACGTCTACAGGCCCGTCAGCCGTCGCCTCGCCGGCCGGTAGTACCCCCAGCATGTCACAGGGTGACCAAAGTGCGCGGATGGGTGGTGACTCGGACACAGGTGATGGAGAGCTCGAGTTCGATCAGCTTTGGGGCTGGTCAGCTGTGCCCAACGCAATATCTAGAGGGCCTCATGCGTTGGGGGCAGCGGTGCCAGCTGGCGCCGGAGTGCCTCCCGTCGCGGTAGCCGCGGTTGCAGCTCCGACCGTGAACGCACCTGTGTTCTCTGCGCAAGGCCCCGGCCAGCAGCAGTTTCAAGGCTTTGCGAACTACGTTGTGCCTGGCGGTCCTAACGGTGCTGGGGTGCCAGCGGCCGGGCCTCCGGGGTACACGGCCCCTAGTGTACCAATGTACGTTCCGGCAGAATACTCCTAGTATGGGTAGTTCTGGAAGCATTTTGGGGCACCTGGTCTGCAGTGGATATGACAGCCAGCAGCATATTTGTCGAGCCAAGCCTGAGGGCACAGAAAAGTGATTTTGGAGGCAGCAAAGATACCCAGAGGATGACGAGGAAGGCAATCATTTCTATTCAACAAAACCTAGATTAGGGGGAAACGAAGAGGTGTTTCAACGTCATGAGTTGACTTCTGATTCGTTTCGGAGGAGCCATTGTGACGAATACTGTATTTTACTGCTACGAGGGCCGGACTACCGGTCGCGATGATAGAAGTTGGAGACTCGGGGGAAAAGGGATGAATAATGCCAAGCAACAAAGTTAAGTGGGAAAACACTAAAGGAAAAGCTCTACGCCGGGCTAGAGAATACCAAAAAGTTTCATGTTATTTGCTTTCGTTTCGGCAACCGACGAGAAGTAAGGCTGCGTGTCTGACTAGATACTAGATTACCTTTGTAGCCACGAAGGATATTGCAATGCTCTTATTTGTCACTTCTGTCAATTTTATAAGGTTTTTTTTTTCTCTTTTTGCTCAACTGCGAGACAGGCTCATAGTCGACTTGATGCTGCCCATGATCTCGTTGCAAAAGGAAGGGGGGGGTTTTATCTTCAAGGTATATTTTTCTGTAGTCGGCGGATTACTGGCCCCCAAGAAGCGGCTTGCTATAGTCGTTGTCGTTGTCGTCGTCATTGTTCTCCTCCTCCTCCTCCTCGCCATCAAGGGGTCAAGGACAGAGGAGAGATAAGGTGGGACCGGGTCGAAGAGGAGTAGGAGGAGGAAGAGGAGGCGGTCGTCGGCGTTTTGAACTAGAGGTTCCATTAAGGTAATCTCGTCGACGAGAGGCTTGGGGGCGGGGAGTATCGAGGGAGGAGTAGGGTTTCGGTTCGGCTCGGTTCGATGTCGTTGAGGAAGTGAGGAAAAGCACCTGCTGCGAGTTGGTTCTCCTAGTTGAGTCAGAAAGTCTTCACTGGTGGCCACTCCGTTAAAACGAGAGCGTAATGTGTAAGGACGTGCGTCTTGGGTCTAGGATGAAGCTCGTCTAATGATTGAGATGCAGAGATCGGTCCCTTCGTCAGAGATTCACAGACCCAATATGCTCAGTTTCTGGAGGCAGACGTCAAGAGATCACTGTTCGACGGGCACAGAGCAGAAACAAGAAGACGAACGATATGATAGGCTGGATGCGGCTACTCTCTTCTCGTTTTCGGGAACCATATCTAGTGGCTAGATTTACTATGGGAAACCCAGCTCAGTACCTTGGTCCTTAGCTGGTGGTGCTTTCGACCGGCCGGCCGTCAAAACTCCGAGCCGGCCGGCCCGGACTCCCTGCCCCCCCTTTTCGCACCAGCGGCTTGACGGCGCCCGAGTATCCTCCACCTGTGCTATCTGCGAATACTGTGGACTTGAGCCGCAATGTTGGGGGCCGGCTCAGGAACAAAGTTTCCGGCATCAATGAAGAGCGTGGCCGCCACAGCGCTCTGGCGGAGTCTAGACTCCCCGTTGGGACTTGATGCGTGGCGTAAATGGCGGTCCCTCGGGGGCCACGAAGAGCGCTACCGCATATCTAGCGCCAGGAGCATTAGCCCCGTAGCGTTGATTCAACTACTCAGCTGCTCGACACACCATCAAGTCACACTAATGCAGTTGGAGACGAGGCTGACAGCTGAGTTCCGTCCATGGTGTCATTTCCCCTACGGACACCTGCTGTTGTTCACGATTCTGAGTCCGTACGACGACGTTGACATTACCAGGGACTTCGATAATCAATTGGGGGCATGTGGACCCCGGGAGATCCGCCCCTTGATTGCGCGGGATCACGATAGATCACCGCCACGTGTCTCAGACTCCGGCCCTCTCCTCCTCAGCTTCTCCCAAGTTTCCTTCGACCTGTTCTGCTTCTTTCCACGCTCCTTCTTCACGGTGAGACACTTGGGAAGACAACTAGCAAGACATGACAGGGGAGGGAAGGTTAGGGGGCGTCTTCTTCTCGAAGTCTCGCGGGAGTCCGCGACGGTTTTAGCGGCAACTTCGATTGGAATGTCATTCCAGATACGGGGGTATGGTATTGGTAGGGCAAATTAGCTTCCCACCTCTATCCAGTGACTAATTAGCGTGAGCCGCGCGCGACTGACAGCTTTCTTCGGAGGAGGCCGTTTCTAGGCGGCGTTGGAACTGGGGAGGGCGGTGTGAGACTGGTGGTGGTGGTGGTGGTGTTGGTCCAACGGCGAACCCGTGAGGTAACAGCCAATCCGTAGTCGCTGATCAGTGATGCCAAATTGGAGAAAGTCTCGGCCCTATATTTCTTCGTACGATCTATGCATACCGGCGTGGAGACTCGGGCAGAAAGAGAAAAAAAACCGGGAAAGAAGGAATAAGCAAGCTCAGGATTCGGTGGCATTCCAGGCATGGTTCTAGAAAAGAGAGGGAGAAACTGGAGGCGGGTTGAATCTGTCATGCAAGGGGGCATGTTAGCACCGATCCTGATCCTGATCCCATCCTTCATCTATACACTATGACATAGCGACATGCGTGACACGGTTCGAGCACATGACAAAAGTGCAAACAATGCTGCAGCAACTCTAGCTCTGTATGCGGATGTCAAAATAAAGTGGGAAAGAGTGGCTGGACCGAAGTTGCATCGCATTTGGCCGCATCAATGTGGCCGTTGTTGCCTGCCCCCGGGAACACTCGGTCAAAGGGGCATATGCAGTCATGTATGCAGTGTATGCATCGAACGACTTCATACTGCTTACATCATGAGCTTCAAGTGAGGCCGCCGGGGGTTACGGCACGGGACCCAGCCAAACTGCCGTTGGTTGCTGTACCCGGTTCCGCAGACTTTGACAGGGCCTGCCGTGGCGTTCACCAACTCGCTCCATTTCGACAATGGGCAAACTCGGCGAAATAAAGGATGCAACATTGGCATCAACGGCAGCCAACAAGAATTCAAAAAGGTTGGGGACCTGCGGCTCTTGGATCCCCGAAGAAGCTACTGTTGCCGAAAGCCCACATCAAGAAGCTTGAACTTTGAAAAGCCCATGGAAATCTCATCCTCCTCCCCCACTCCGGCCGGCATCTCTCAAGCCTGCAGGCGATTCGTAATGACAATTCGAAAAGACGATGTCAGCTGTAGCGGGATCCACCCATTCGGCCGGTATTTCGTATTGCGGCATTGGATTTTGGGAGGGGACTGGTAATCCCATTCATTTTCTTGGCAATATATCAGACTTTTGAAATCTCCAAGACGTATCCGTACTCGACCGGGCGTGGCTAACCGCGGACTCTCCGCAAGCAGAAAAAAGCTTTTTCCTGGTTCCGGCTGAAGTACGGATATTTGTGTCCTGTTTGGAAGAAGTTCTGCCCTTGTTGAGGAGCCTCGTTGATTAACACGACACAAAGTCCAAACTGACAGCTCGTTTACGACAGCGAATCCCGTTTTCCTGTATGCCGCTTTGCTAATCAATGCTCGCACTCTTTCAGATGAAATCCGTTCCAGACTTAAACATGATCTGCTTACAGGAAACAACGCTCAAAAGTCGAAACAGAGAGCGAGCTCCACTTCAAAGCGACTCCATCCTCACTGGCACTTTTCGCCCCCGACAAAAAAAGCAACCCACCGGTGCCACTTTCGAGAGTCAATGGAACGGCAAACAAAAAATTGGTCCCCCCCACCCCACTCACACTACGACGTCCAGGTCGGGTCCCTGCGAGGCGCGTGTTGCCCGCGCTCCGCCCCGCCGAACCGCGGCCGACCCCGTAAGGGATCCACCCAACGGCCCCGGCGGCTCAAGACCCCCGAATCGTTAGCGCCAATAAATAACCCGCCGCGCGCGCGTTGGAACATTTCGTACCCGGGTCCCACCCATCAAGAGTCGTCTTTTTTTTCTTTCCCTTCTCCGTTTCTATTGCCCAGGTTGTCCATCCATGATCCCTATGCCAAGGTGGAGGAGGAGGAGGAGGAGGAGGAGCGTGCGGTAAACACATTATCAGCCCACTACCGCTGCGACGTCGTTGGTTTCGGGTCCCCGAGATCCTAGATGTGAGATCTGCGTGTTTCTCTCCCACTCTCGGGCTCGGAATGCCGAGCTTGCATTAGGGCCCGAGACTCGAGTGAAATAAATCATGAAGTACCTTGTTCATAGCGCGGACTAGTCATGTGATGATGGTCCATGGTGCCGTCGAGTTGAACGATAGCCTGTCCCTTCGTGTGCTTCTGGGCTGTCTTGTGGCGTCGAGGCGTAGCCCGGCTGAAGTCGTTGACCGATGTGCGTACAGAGGCGCAGGCGTAAGGATGTCGAGGTGTCACTGGCGTATCGCGATGCTCCGAACTTGATTAAAATCTAGCCAATTTTTGGCGGGATAGGCTTGCCGACGTTAATGGCAAACAGACAGCTTCACCTTCGTGAAGACGCCAAACGACCGTGTTGAGCCGTGTACTCACTAGGTGATAGACGTTTACCCATCTCTGAAATCGAAAGTGTCCTTGGGTGACGTCTATCTCAGGAAGACGACGCCATTGGTGATTCCGAACGCGTGCTCTTACGAAGTGCTCTTTTCACAACCTACATCACCCTCTTTGTGTCGTCACACAAGAGGAAACATGCTTGGACGTGTCGTGTCTCTTGCAACATGCACGAATCTTTGGCCCATCCATTATGCAAAGTGGAAAGTAGGAATTAGACTTAACTCGCGTGAAATAGAGAGTATACACAATAAATAATCCATCCTTAATATTCGTGGTAACCAGCCCTTCTACCCATTTAATCATCCGTATCCAATGTCCACTGGGTCTTTCCAAGTAAACCCCCTTTACAAAATTGGGGGGGAATAGGCAGGAGCAACATGGAACATGGGACATATCCCCATGTCTCTCTCCTAGTGTTCCCTGTGTTTTACGGCTCTTTAGTGATACAAGTCCCTCTTTTAAACCTATTTTGACGCCGAAAGCTATTGTCGATACTCACCAGCTTGTCGGACCAAACTTTGTTCCAGGCGCGGGCGTCGCCTGGATAGCCGTGCCCTGCGCGTCCATCGTTGCAGTCACGATATCGTTACCCCACCATTTAGGCGGCTCAATCTTGTTAAGCGTGAAAGCCAAGAAGATGACGAGCGTGGCGAGCGCCAGGCCGAGGTCGAGACCCGACGAGGTGAGGTAGTTGAGGCGCGACCACCAGCCAAAATGCTTCTTGCGAATGTGGTGCTGGAAGACGTAGCCGACGATGCCCCAGGAGAGGTAGTTGAGGGGCGTCGCGGGAGGGATGGCGCCGGCACCGCCAAAGATGAGGGGCGCCATGAGGTACTTGACGGGAGACTTGGGCCACTTGAGAGCGGCGAAGTAGAAGATTACGGGGAGGATGGCGCCGAGGCCGAAGAAGATGAAGAGGCCGGAGTAGACTTGGCCCGGGGAGAACATGCGGGCGGGACCGATGAGACCCCAAATTACGGATGCTGTGGACGGGGGCTGTTAGTTTTGTGATACGGGAGGGAGTGGGTTGAGGGGTAGGGACGACGTACCGGCAAAGAAGACGCGGCCGCCCGGGCAAGAGAACTTGTTCTCCTGGTGCGGCGTGCAGACATCGGGGATGTTCTTCAACGCGGCGTTGAGCACGGCGATCTGGATGAAGCAGGAGAAGGTGGTTGCGACGACTTGGCACATGAACATGGTTCTTGGCGGGATCTTCATGTAGTGGCCAAACTTCAAGTCAGAGACGAAGCTGAGGGACTGGGACATGGTGATGTAGCCAAAAGTCTTGAAGCTGTGTAACTTGTCAGCACAAAACGAGTCGATGAAAGTCGATTAGAACACAGTGTAACTCACATCATGAGTGCGAGAGGTCGCCCAGGTTGGATGTAGCCGTAGATGAACTCCGTCAACACATTCAGACCAATCTGGTTGTTCGTGACAGCCTGAATAATGCCAATGGGCAGCGAGAAGCCGAACGAAATGGCCACCGCCAAAAGGAAGGCCCACCAGGTCAGGTTGGTCGGGTAGTACAGAACAGTCACGAAACCTAGACCAAGCATCTGCACGCGTGTTAGTGCATCATGACGGACCCCAAAATCCAGCAAAGTTACTTACGATCACGAAGAGGCCCATGTACCACCAAGTCGGCGCCTCCTTGTACTTCCTCATGAGCTTCATGTGGATATCGGGCTGCTCCTTGTTGCTGTTCCTGTACTGGGCCCAAATCTGCTTTCCGTTGTGCAGATAGGTGTAGACGATCAAAGAAGCGATGGCAGCGAATGACAGACCGTACGACATGGCGAACGTGGTGCTGATGAACAGCGGTGAATAGTTCTTGTACGCCTCCTCGTTCAGTGTAAGCTGAGGGGTAAGGATGCGAGACGTGTTGTACGGGTTACCCGTGTTGTCGTACGTGCCCGAGTCGCTCATGGGCAGGAACTGAGCGTACCACACACCGCTGTAGTGGAAGACGGAGCAGCCGATGATGAAGAAGGTAACAACACCGATGAGGGTGTTGGCAATGGCGTGCCATGGGGGAATGAGCGGGGAGCCAACGAATCCGGAAATCTGAGTCCAGTCGAGAGTCAACGGCAGAAGTGACAGACCACTCGTTCCACCAAATAGCTGGTTGATGATAACATTGTTCGGGGCAATCCAGGTGGCGAATGCCATGATACTAAGGAATTGCGCGAGGAAGCCGGGGATCCAATAGTAGCAGAATGAGCCAAGAACAATGATACCGAACCACTTGTATCGAGGCATGCTGCCACCAATGAAAGTGGGATCGGGTCTGTCATTCGTCTCGTACATGGCATTCATCAAAGTGACGGAGACCAAGTTTCCGGGCCAGATCATAGCAGCCGGATAGACTGATAGTAAGGTTAGCGAGCCTAAATCTTGAAGTTTATTTACGAGTACGCACCGAGGAACTTTCGCATGATGCCGGCAATTCCGTAACCCAAGGACTGAGTGGAAATGGTGAGAAGCAGTTGAAAGACGATGCCAAAGTCTTGCTTGTAAAACACCAGCTGGGCCAGGATAATGTCGGTAGCGTATGCAACCGAAAAGGAGACACCAGCCATCACGACAATGATGGAGTGCTCCTTGATGTTGAACG